GTTAGGTAGGTTACAGAGATGTTATAGGGGGTGTAACCTACCTATAACCTCCCAACACCCTCTGAATAACCTCTGACGTGCGTACGTTTTACATACTCAAAATTTTCTCCATTGTTTTACCCCCTTTTGTGGTTATTTTCTTCACGGGTTTAAATGTTTTATTAACCATTCCTGCAAAAAAAATAATAATAATAATAAAATAAAAAATAAATAAAAATGGTCCTTTTGGTCATCGGTGCAACTACCATGTTAAGTAATTACCCAATTCCTATGTATATAAATCTCTAACATCTACATTTTAAAAAAAATATTACGTAAAAATTGAAGTCTAGGAGTTAGATTTGTAAATACATAGGAATTTAGTGGTCCCTATTTACTATTTTTTTTTTGTAATATCTAAATTTTTATGTTTATATATAAATAGCGTTATAAATATGATCATGATTTCTTCTTTAAGGTACAAATGGTCCAAATATGTAATTTTTGTTTTTGTTTTGGGTAAAATGTGGTTTATCATATTAAATACACTCAGAAGGCATTATTAATTGCTGTATTATATTTGATTGATTATGCAAGTAACATTTATAATTCGACAAACGCGCAAGGATTACTGCTTTCAAATTATATTTTAATAATTTTATTAAGATAATTAAATTAAGAAGACTTAGCACCCAATTCTTATGTATTTACATATTTAACACAAATTTAACATATGTGCCATTTTATTTATACATGAAAAGATAAATTTTATTTTGAAAAAAAAAAAAAAAAGAATGCTTTTAAGAAATAGGTGCCATGAATGTAAATGGCCCCATCAAGTTCTAGTGCCGGGCATTATGATTTTGTTTAGTAGAATGATGCGAACAAGTTGTATTCTTTCATTAAGCTTAAGAGAATCGTTAAACATTTCACTTATATTATATAATCTTCAAAAGAAAGCTCATTGAATGGTGCATATATATATTAGAAAAAGAATGGTTGAAGGCTATTATACTAGCCCCATCGCTCATGCGCCTATAATTTGAGTAGCACACCCTATATTGGGGGGAATTGAATCTCAGACCAGAGAGGGCTTACAATTGACAAATAGATGCCAGACCAACTGATCTGAATATGCCATGCACATATATATGTATTAAAAAAAGAATGGGTCGGGTTATGAGGTCTGAAACCCACCATATTGGCTCAACTCCCGTTAGGTTTGGGGATGCGACTAAATGCTCAAGTATCTCTTCCTTAAGGCTAGGGGTGTAAATGAGTTGAACACTAGCAAGCTCAAGCTTAGCTTATGTTCGGCTCATTTATATTTCAAGCTTAAAAAAGTGTTGGTGTTTGACTCATTTGTTTAGTGAGTCAAACACGAGCTGTTCATGAACAATGAGTCATTTAAACAACTGTAATCATGTAATTATCAGATATTAAAGGTTGGGGCAAAATTTAAAAAATATTGTTTATATTAAAACATCATTTGAATCTAATTTGATACTTTTTATTTTATTTTTTTAGTTAATACTTTTAATTGATTAAAAATCTTTGTAATCTTATAGTCAATTAAAAATTTTAAAACTACTCAATATGTATGTATATAATTGATGAGTAGTATTTCGAGCCAAAATGAGCCAAACAAGAGCTGTTCAAGAACGAGCCATTTAGACAGCCTTACTTAAGGTAACAGTCTCCAAAGGTAGGGTTCAAATCCTAGACCGGGGGGTCTTAGTACAGCAGAAGTAGATGCTCTAGAGCATTGCAGTAGAAAAGGGAGGCTTCTAAATGAATTTCGCAAAATAATAAACAATGATATTGCAAGCACAAACAAAAATGTACAGAGATGTACATATTCTTCTGGGGATCGAAAGAACTCATCTGTAAATTGAAATTTTTTTTGACAGTTTTGGTGTGGCAGAGGGGGATCTCCAAAATTCTCTTCTTCTTTGAAGTTGGATTTTTTTTTGTTTTCCAAACAAAGGGAAATGAATATTATTGTTGGGCAAACCATCTCTCACTTCAGATGTATGATACGACTCCTGAAGACATTTGTATTATTTCAACATTAGGGATCTAATAGAAACATAAATCAAAAAAGTAAATTCATGAGCTGAAAATGGAAAAACTTATAAGCAAACAGTAATTTTTTTTTTTAAACAGGCCCCCAATTCCTGTCTAGCACAAATTTTGGAGATTTAGATTTATACCACCAGAATCTTTCATATCCCAGAAAAAAAGACCATCATTTTAAATTTTAAACGGTGAAATACAGCTTTTTCATGCATAGATAAGGAGGTATGTGTGTAAGAATTAAGTATTGGTGTTACATGTGCAAATACATAGGAATTAAGTGGTATGTATATAAAACTTCCTTTAAAAAAAAACAAGAGAATGTCATTTAATGTAAAAAATTCCTGCATCGGGTAGTTGATATAATTTGGATTTTTTTTCATCCAATTCTCATGTTAAGAGAAATAAATGTGAGGATATCATGAAGAAATGAATGATGAATGATGCATTGCATGTTGAAAGCCATAAACTAAATGATGTCAGCTTGAGACTACATTTCATAGCAAACAAAAAAAAATCTGACATTTATACAGGTCAAAATAGCTCAGTGTTTGTGATTATCTACACTTCCAAATAAGTTCGAGTTCGAAATGACTGTTAAGTGAGATTTGAGCTTATTTCTGCAGAGGTCATTGGGGATATTTTTTATTTATTTTAATTAATGTTTTTTTTTTATTTGGGGCATTTATATACATACCACCTAAATCCTACGGATTTACATATCTAACACCTATACTTTGATTTTTATATGCATATCATCTAAATCTTGCATATCACATCCAAAATACCACTATTTATACAATTTTAAGGCATAGATAAGGTGATGTATGTGTAAATGCAAAGGAATTGAGTGGTATATATGCGAATTTTCCTTTTTATTTTGTTTAGATTATGGCTTCTTATGAAGTTAAAACAAGTTTGATATTCTAAATATTGGTCGTCTGGTTTTACCGAATACTGCATGAGAATATAGTTGGTCCTAAATATAAATTCCTTTTCATCGGCTACAGCGGCAAGTGGCTAGCCTAGGCAATTTCAATTGGAAAATAATACAAGAACTTAGAAAACGACTACAAATTATTTGAACATTTTCTAAATTAAAAAAAAAAAGCTAAGCTATATATATATATATATATATATAACCATTATGATTTTGTCCTATTGGTGTAGCTTCCCATGAAGTGCTCGTACATAAACATGCTTAGCTTTGAAGTTTCTAAATGTTAACCCATAAGGCATCTTAATGTTTGAGAGTTTAGCGTCATTTTACTTTCAAGTTTCACAATCTCTTAAGTAATTGACGTACTTTTTAGTATTTTTAGTTAAAATCATCCACCAAGCTTATAAGATTTTAGACGCAGACCTTATTGATAGCTTCAATAGGTGATTCCTACCATGTAGCATTTTGTCTCATCTAAGGTTTAAGAGGATGTAACGCCCTGATACCATTCGCAACAAATCGAACTCTCACCAATCAAGATATTGTTCACTTTAGCTAATGGCCTCACAATTGTCTCATTATTGTAACTTCTCAGGAGGTCATCAGACCCAAAAGTGCTCTCGCACGAACACACTTAATTTTAAGAGTTTCAAATAAAATTCTAAACATTACGCCAAAAAACACCTCAATGCCTAAGAGTTCAACTTAATTTTATTTGAGGAGTTTCACAATATGAGATTTAGCACTTGTATGTATTGCCATATAATCCTTAAAATTTAATATACTTCATGCTTAATAAGACTAAATCAAATCCAACATAATCATGTAGTATTATATAATCAAATATGAATTGAGCACAAACAAGACAAATCAAATGATCCACACTCAAAACTAGGGCAACTCCAATAATGCTCAGCTCATTTATACCCCTACCACCAAGTCATTGGCGAAAGAGTGGTTCTAACAATGCACGAACTCGGCCCAAA